ATTCAAAGATTACGTTAAACTAGACATGTATCGCACCATTATTCAATACTTGTTTATCATTTCAAGAGAAATAAATTATAAAAGTTATAATAAGCTACGAAAACGAGCTTGGAACACGTATATTCACCGCTGAAAAATACGAAAGAAAACCAACGTGGAGTTAGAGGAGACAAATCATTAACTGATCAGTAAAGCACGATCACCATAGTAGATGGAAAACAAATTGAAAGCTGACTTGCATAACATTTCTATTATTATCTCTGGAAGAATGATGAAAATTATGAAAAAACTCACAAAGATCACAGCAGATCTAAACCTAGCTTCAAGAGGGAGAAAGAGAGATATATGAATGTTTCACAGGAATGATTTTTGTAAATCTAAACTTCCATTTACTAAACCCTTTTTATCGATCCTATAATATTTGAATGAGAAATGGTGCAGAGTTGAGAGATGTCATAAAGCTTTTCCTAATCTCCTGATTTGTTTGAGGCCCTCCTCATGTCTCACGGTGGACATGGTCAAATTCGATCACCAGTCCTTAAGGTCCCGTTCTGCTTTGATTTTTCGCTAAATGTCCGTCTGGATATCCGCTGTGTGTCAGATATGTGTTTCGCCGTGTTACATCCGATTTCGACGAAACTTTCAGCGAACGTTAGTTCGGTTGAGTATTCAAATGTTAGATATTTAGATATTTAGAGGGGCTGGGGGGAGAGGTGGGGAGATGAGAGTGAGTGAGATGAACTGAAGATCCTAACATCTGAATATATAAACATCTGCAATTTGCAAAATACCCAGGTGTTTAAAAATTCAGATACTCAAAACTTAGGCAGTTGGATATTTAGATATTCAGATGTTAACATCTTTAGTTCTTCTCACTCACTCTCATCTCTCATTTAAAATTAATTGATTTGAAATCAAAAAAATCTGATTTCAGATGTTTTCCCCTTGATTCCATAAGAACTCTCACAATACCTACGTATTTCTTTGCTATTTTGCTCCACAGTACAATAGCCAAGGGGGAAAAAGCGGAATGGGCTGGAATGAGACGGAATGGCCCATTCCATACCACTCCATACCATTTTTTACAGTTTTTCCATTCTCTAACAAAGAAAAAACATTGTTCTTTTTTGGGAGAATATTTCCCAGAACGTAACACATTTGTTCTTTATCTGGACAATTCATCCCATTTTCGAACTAAACTGTCCTGTTGTGGCAAAGCATGCTCAAATGGACTGAACACTAGTGTTCCGTTTTGGCGAAAGAAATAGGCTCCCTGACTCCATTTGCGGTTAGGAGTCATGTGGAGTCTGCTGTTTCTGCCTTGTTCTAATGTCCTAGGAATATTGAGAATTATAGGAAATATAAGAACATTAGGAGCATACGAACAATGAGAGCTAAACAATCAATGGGGAAAGAGCGTTTCTGGAATGGTAGAATGGGCTGGAATGGGCCGGAATGGGCTGATCCGGAGTGACGAAAAATTCCCAAAAGTTTCATGACTGTATGCCATGAAACTACAAACATAGAGCAATTTTGGTTGTCGCTCTGTAGACATACATACATGCAAACATACATACAGGCATTTTATTTTTTACGAGGCCTTTTCCTTTACAGTCAAGGGAATAGAAGTTCTCACTCAGTGCCAATGTGGCCCATTCCGGCGCATTTCATAAGCCTCTCAAAAAAGGAGAATGGAAAAACTGTAAAAAATGGTATGGAGTGGTATAGAATGGGCCATTCCGTCTCATTCCAGCCCATTCCGCTTTTTCCCCCTTGACAATAGCCGTTTCTGTGATAAGTCCATTATAGTGCCTTATAGCACCTTATGGTCCCTCATAGTACCTTATAGTCCCTTATAGTACCTAACATTCCCTTATAGTACCTAATAGTTCCTTATAGTCAATTATAGTACCTTATAGTCCCTTATCACAGTGGGCATTTAGGCGGCATTTTCTGGAAAAATCGTAGGTACGAAATTTTCTGTTTTGAATAGCGGTATATATAGTGTAAACAATGCCCTATTTAACAGTGAAAAAATTTTTGTTCTAGCTGCTTCCAAAGTGGGAAGTAAAAGAACCGATTAGAAATAAGGCTAAAGTAGAGAAACCAATAGAGATGAGAACAAAAAACTCGAGATATGGTTTAAGAAAACAGTCGAGAATACTTAGGTCTGACCAAAAGTTCGTGCACTGCTATTGGCAGTTTCTTAGACCAATTAACATTGGACTTATTTTTTTCATAAATAAATAGTGGAAGGTCTTTTCTATAATAATATGTATAGCAACTCGTTTTTGAAGTTGGTCACAACATTTTTTTCAGATAAAATATAATGCGACCCAAAAAAAATGGATAATGAATACAATCGATACTATATTAGAATTCGAACTATTTTGGGAATAGCTCCAAAAACAATCCACGAGGAACTAGCAACAGCTTTAGGACCTGATGCTCCAGCATATCGAACAGTTGCAGAGTGGGCCGAGTGGGGTTTCCGTGAAGGAAGAGAAGATGTCAATGATGATCCTCGATCCGGTCGTCCGGTTTCCGAACTTACAGATGAAAATATTGAACTGGTACGACAGGTTATTAGCAATGATCCACATTCAACTTATGATGATATTATAGCTGAGACATTTCTTTCTCACGGTACAATCGAACGAATTATCCATGATCATCTCAAGATGAGAAAAGTTACATCACGTTTGGTACCCCATCAACTAACTGCTGAACAAAAGGAAGAACGAGTTAAAGTTTGTCGTGAAAATTTGGCCAAATTTCGTGCTGGTTCTTGGCGATTATGTGACATTATTACAGGCGATGAGACGTGGATTTACCACAGACAGATTGGTCGCAAGTCAACAAATGCTAGCTGGATTGC